AAAAAAAAATTCAAATTTTTACATGAAATATAATAGTAAAAATAAATTTATCAACAATATATTCAAAAGATATTTTACTTTAAGTTATAATAAAAAAAATATGGTACGTTATTTTGTAATATTGATATAAAAAAGAAAGAAAGAGTTATACGGGTTTGAAAAAATAAAACAGTTTTTCTCAATATTAAGAGTTTTGTAATATAATTCTTCAATATTTGTAAAAACGTAAAAAAATTTTTCGGAATAACTCAATATTAATTTTGAACAAAATGTCAATTTTTTAAATAACTTATATTTATTTCCTATAGTTGATTAGGATAAATTTTAATTGAGAATGTTCTACTATTTGCGTGGTTGCAGCAAATTTTTACAGAGTTGGAATTGCGTTAAAAAAAAAAAATGAAAATTCTTTTAAAAATATAAAATTTTTTGTAATAGCATTAAGAAAATTAAAAATGTTCATGCTTCTTCTCTTCTTCTTCCTCGCCTTAATCCCAACTACTTGGGGTCGGTCACCCTTATCCTAAACTTCCACTTGACACGATCTCCCACATCATCTACACTCGATTGACGTATCTTTCTATGCCAAAATAATAGAATTATAAAAAATACCATTTACTTATTTTTGAATAGTTTACTAATAAACCGTCCACTATTTTTCTATTATTTAAGCTTTTAAAATTTCTCAAAAGAGAATTATCAACCGAACCATGCTTCAACCTCGACTTTTGACTAAGTGAACATAAACTTTGAATCATTCATTAGTTTTTTTATTTGTTGTCCTATAAATACACCTCCTTTAATCTTTTAATAGGATAAATCTAAAAACACAGTTTTCAAATAAGTAAATCTGAACTTTATCTAGAGCTCTTACAAAATGCTTAAAAAGCCCAAGTTTAATATGCAAAGGTAGTAGGAATTTATATTTTCATTAAAAAGAACAATGAATTTAATATTTTATTTTTATGGTATAGTTTACTCAATTTGGCCAATATCTTCATATTCTCTTGACATTCTCAACTGTCCCATGTACAAAAAAAAACATTTATTTTGTGTATAACTATTACAAACCTGTTACTAGTGCAACGATTATTGGATAATGCATAATAATTTATCATTTTCTTTATTATATATTAAAGTAAAATATTATATTTTTATAATATTATAAATTTTATAATATTTATAATTTTTTATCAGTTTATTTCAGATAAAATTCTAATTTTTTTCGGACATTTTGAAAATATGATAAAAATTCGTTGATATATTTTTAAATAGTAAATGATAAAAAACAGATCAAAAATTGTTCAAGATAAAAATTATAAATAATTTTATATTATTTAACTTGTATTAAATAAAAATCTGTTGATTGTAATAAAAAATCTCTACATATAATGAAAAAACTTTTTTGTAACACATAAAAATGTTTTTCAAAACATTTTCTAACCTAGCAAAAAGTTTTACTTAAAATATCACTTTCATATGTCATAAAACCATGTCATTCTAAACTAGTGTAATTTACTGTAACTTCATAATAATTATGAAGTTGCAATAACAGGACGTAATACAATCATTGTATTTTCTATCTATTGGCCTATAATTTCTGGAATCAAGTTTTCAGGTAGTTTATCTATCTATGTCTTTAAGAAAATTTTATTAGCTCTAATTTAATACAGGTTTATAAAAGTCAAGTGTTTTGGAACACTAAATAATTTAAAAGAAAAAAATTTTAATGAATTTAATTTCTGTCCAGTATCTCAGTTACTGATTGGATTTTCAAAAATAATATCACGAGCAAGCTTAATTTCTAATAAAATATTCTAATGATTCATTAATTTTTAAGTTATTTTAATGTAATGTAAAAACTAAAAATATTAAACCGACTGTTTTGTAACAATTGTAATTTTTTAAGACATTTTTAATTTTATTAAGAGATTGAGGAGAATTTTTCAAAACTAAGATGTTATCGGCTTTAACTGGATACATTTTGCAATCTTTTGATTTATTGAGGAAAATGGGTTCCAATATGAGTGAAGTAATTTTATAGACAGACAAAAAAACACGACAGATTAAATAACTTTTTAGCTGAGCATTAAGCTTAAAATAAACACAGTAATAATATGCAGAATAACGTCAATTTTAAAGCACGTGGAATTCGTGATATTTCGTAATTGATGCCATGATAATAGTGTCATGTCTTATTGGCTGTTGACATGAAACTATTGATTTTATAAACTGTTAACGCTTTGAGTAATTAATAATCGAACTCGTCTAGTTCTTCCAATACAACACCATTGTTTGTCACTAAGGTAACCTTTAAGGTGTTTATTAAAGAATTGAAACGTGTTACAAATGTAATAAAATAATGAATTTATAAGTCATACGTGGATTAAAGTAGTTAGATCTCGACCACCTACAATGGCTGACGATGGTATTGATGACAATGAGATCAACGATAAGCGCTTATCTTACCTTTACAGGTTTTTGGTAAAAAGTTGGAAATTTAAAATGGACAAATGGGACAATATGATGAAGACACCAGAGTTTAATGTATGATTAAATATTAATATGGAAAAAACTTGAAATGCTTCATAATTGTTACAATCATTTTCTGTTATAAAGGTTCTATTAACATTTCTTTTTTATATTTACATAGAATTTGATTATGGACTTTTTTAATGTACCAGAACGTGCAAAACTATTATTTACTCTAACCCCTGCAGGGGTATTAATGCCATTAGTAGATTTTCCTGAAGGGTTTAAAACTAAAATGACTTACGTATTAAGAATGGAGAAAAAAGAAGTAACAGAGAGTAATTATGAATCAGTATTAGAAGTTGGGGATGTTTCTGCTAATCCTATTGAAGACTTAAAACACATAACCGAACATGTAAGTTTCATAGTTGCATAATTATATTCATAGCTATCAATTACTTATATTCAAGAGTTACGGTAATAGGTGTTAACAAATGTTTTATCTAATAAAGATAACTTTGTAACCTGTGCAGAAGAAATTTTAGTAGACGTACAAGATAATCTTAATGACTTGATGGGCGAAATAAATACTATAGCTGGATTAGTAAAAAATCATCATACGCTTACACTACCATTTGGTTATGATAATATTGATAATGCAATAAAATTGTTTGAAAGCAGGTATGCATAATTTTTTTTTTAATATTCGTGTCGGCATTATACGTTTTAAGAAAAATACACGCGAATAATTACTCAAGTAAAATTTTTTAAGTAGAGTTTATTTATTTATTAAGTGATGGGAAAAATGTAGACGAGGTTCTAAAGCATCGAATAGAACATAAAATTCTAACATGGTTCAAAAACCTAAATACAATGATGGCATATAAAGTACAAGTAATGCTAGATAAAAATCCTGCAGCTTTACCATCGGAATGTATGTATGAAATCCATTATAATATTATAATTGTTAAAAACCACATATATTTATCCAGTTCTTCTTTATTGGAAAAATCGGGAAGCTTATTTCACTAATTTATACACGCAAATTGATAAAAAAATTGGGTATTTTTTAACTATCACTAATAGCCCGTACACAACCATTTATAAACAAATGGTCGATACAATAGTTTCAGGTATGTGATTGATAAACAAATAACTTAACATCATTTTTTCAACATTTTTATTAGCTTCTAGTGAAGCAAATATCATTAATAAATATTTAAGTACTTTAAATAAACAATTAACTTATATGGAAATTGTTGGTCTAATTGACGCTAAACAAGAATTGTTTATTCTAATGAGAAAAATATGCTTGATTTGGGTACATTGTCCGCAGTTTCAACAATATGAGTATATTGTTGTTTTCATAAAACAAATCTGCAATTTAATAATGATAGAAGTAATATAAATTAATTAAAGGTACTACACAGTACCGTAACTTGGTAAATGTATAAAAATTATTCTTACTATTTTTAGTCGTCAAAATATTTAGAACCAACTGCTTTATTTCAAGGAGAACTAACAGAAAATTTACCAAGAATAGATGAAATTTTAGAAATCTTCACCAATTTTAAGTAAAAAAATATATATAACAAATAAATATAAACAATAAATATTTTTAAATCATTACATAAAAAAATTTTATAGAAATCACTTTGAAATAATAAAAACGGAGTACCTACATGAAAAATTTTCGGATTTAGCAAATAAATCACCAAATTTAAAAATTAAACCACGTTTTTGGAATTTTCACAGAAAAGATATATTTGACTATTTTGATGCATATGAAAAACGTTTAAAAGACATAAAAGTAGATTAGTTTAATTGAAAAATACATTGTTTTACAATTAAATTTAATGTTGTTTTATTTTTTACTTAAATTAAAAATGATAAATTTATTGCTTTTTACTTCATTATAATTTTTATACACTATAAGATACTACCATTTGATACAGAGTATATGATAATAAAAATTTTACATTTAATCTTATAGAACATCATTAATTCTCTTTTGGACTATCAAAAGTTAGAAAAAGTAGAAGTAGGTGGACTCATTGGTCGATGGTACAGTAATAAAGTAGAGGAGCTTTTTTCCCGTTTCTCAAGATTTTTAGAAAAACTAGGAACTATATCTTACGACCCGCTAGATATGTTTAACGACGCAAACAATGTTTCGTTTATGGAAGATTATAATGCATACTTAGAAATGACAGATGATTTTGATAAACGACTCACAACTATTTGCAAAGCTTGTTTTGAATATTCTGATGATTTAATGTCACTCCACAAGGTACATAAAGTTTAATAATTTTAATTATGACTATAATTAAATTATTAAAAATTGATTTTTAAATAGTTTATTATGGTATTTGGCTCAACTTTGTTAGATCGACCAATCATTTCAAAAGTAGTATCTAGTTATTATCAAAAAGTTTTAGATTTACTTGATCAAGAATTGGCTGAACAAAAAGTATTAATAGTTCAAAAAAGCATTTTCAAAAATTTATTGATTTTATTATTTGAATTATTTTAAATTAAGCGAATATTTGATCGACAACTGGGAATTGTAAAAAATACTAGTGAGTCTTTAGATTATCCTGAGCTCCTTTATATGCCAGAAGAAACAGATACATTCTATCCACCAGTTGCTAGACAAGTAATGTGGGGTAATACGTTAAAATGTCGCCTTACGGAAGACTTAAAGTCCATTCGAGCACTAAAATTACCGTGAGTGAAAAGAATTTTATATATGAAAATATAGCAATAATTTATCTCTGTATAAACTCTGACAAATTATAAAAAATGTTTACATATAAATTATAATTATATTTAAACTCTATAACTATTACCTAAATTAATTCCAAACAAAGTCATATTATTTAAACTTCCGCAATATAATGACTAAAATATATAAGATCTAATAACTCTTTAGTACATTATTATTTATCAAAAATTAATGTTTACCATTTCAAAATATTTATAAAAATGATTTTTTATTTATTAATCATAAATCGACAAGTCGTGAGAGCACACGAAAAAATTATGAAAAGTTACATATTTATTTTTGCGTTAACACCGAAAAATTTATAAGCGCAATTAAAATTGAATAAATTTTCAAATTAAAAAAAATTGGTTTAGCTTAAATAATATACAATAAATCTGTTTATAATTAATATATTTTCTTAGATATTCATTTAAATCCAAAAAAAATCGGATCCTTTTCATTTCATACAACTTAACCCATCAACGCCGAGAATTATTTTTTTTCAAACTTTCAATTTTTTTTACTAAAAACAGATTAATATACAACACAAAAATAAAAAAAAATTATTTTTAAATTTTTTGAAAATACGATTTCTGAGATATTGAGTGTCACCATATGGGTACACTCTGCTTTTACCTATTAAATTATTCGCGCGATAAAAATAGCAATACGAATGTCACCATATGGGGACGCCAGGCGTTGATGGGTTAAGTCAAAAAATCTTTACATTACTCATAATTTAGGTTATTATTTCTATTTTAAGATACAAGATTTAATTTTATTAATTTTAGAAGTTTAATATACTATAATCACTTTTACTCAACAATATTACTTTTTGTCTGAATAAACGCATGAATAATCCATTCTTATTTTACTCAATAATACAAAATCATAAATGTCAATAAATACAAAATGTATTTAATTAAAAAAGGCTTAAGACATACAACATATCAACATTTTTTTCTTTACAATATATGATAATGTTCTGAAAAACCTGAATGTATTAAACTTTATTAATTACTACCCATAAAAGTATTAAAAAATTAAATAAATAATTTTTTTTATTACAAGTCTTTGGATAATTATTAATCAACCAGCTATTAGAGCTAAAAGTCAGTCAAATTTCAATAAATGTCGATTTCGACAATATAGCATTGTTTTGCAACACTAAAATGTATTAAATTGAAGTTTATTTTATTTACTATAATTTAGTATATATAAAAAGAAAGACCTCCTAATGTTTTGTTCCATATCTGTACTTGAATAATTAAGACAAAAGTCATGTAACTTTTGGTTGATATAAACTATATTTAGCTTCGAGGCAAAGGTTTTTGTCTATCACCACTTTTTCTCAGCTCTCACCGAACCGATATCTATCAAAAGATCACAAATCGTATCTAGTTGAAGACATATCCTTCAATAATCGAAAATTTCCCTCGTTCCCCGTAAATGGGGTAAATTTTCCAAAAATTTATTGTTTTTAAAACCAACTCCTACTTAACAATTCATAAATATATTCATTAATATATTATATTTATAAATAAATAACACTATAAAATTTTAATATGCTAATACTACAGATTTTTATTTCTATTAAAGAATTATGAAAACACAAAAAGCAGCTGAAATTATGTTAAAAATTAACGAAATGTGTGAAAAAACAAAAAATTATTTAAAACCTATATTTATTGAATGGAAAAAAAATACGCCTAGACTGATCCAAGAAAACATTAAAAAACCATTATTTATTGTGAATGAAGATAAAACAATTGGTTTAAATTTTGCAAAAGAAGTAATTTATTTTATTTAAATTAATTTCAATTTTTATTTTATTATAATTACGTTTATATAAGCTCGATTCCGCTATCAAAGTAACTCGATACTTGATTCTTGGCATTTATTACAATAAAGATCCCGTATTATACATTACCATTGATGATCTACCAAATGAAGCGATGGAACTTTATAAACGTGAAAAAAATTTAATTAACTATAAGAGAGATATAAATGACATTGTTATGTGGTTAGTATATCATTATTTGTATCAATAATTAACTTGTCCTAATAGACTTTATATATTTAAATGCTTTATCATATTAAGGTATAATACATTAAGAACAAAGACACATAACACGGAATATGAACTCGTACAAAAAGAAATTGAAAAAATTGATTTTCTTATCAATAATGCTCAAAAAAATATAAACTGGTCTTCGGAAGGTTACTACAATCTTCATATATATTTTTAATAGTAAATACGAACTAAAAACTAATAAATATTGTAGAACCAGTTCAATTTGATGAAGAAATAGGTGATGAAGAAATGTTGGAGGAAGAAATACCCATAATTTCTTCAATACAACATACAATTGCGATTATTCATAGTCTTACTGAAAATTTATATGATAGAATGATGAAAATCCAAAATAATTATAAGGAAGTTGTAAATTTGTCCAATCAATGGAATAATCAACCACTTTATATTCGTGACAAAAATACAATGTTAATAGAGTTTGATAAGAGAATAATTGATGCAAAAACAACTAGACACAAAGAATTAATAGAATGTAGTAAAAAAATTAAAAAACTACTGAAAGAAGATCTCTTACTATTCAATAATATACCAATAATTGATCCGAATGCAATGAAACCTATAGTATTTGGAGAAGAAGGTGAAGAAGATGCTAACATCGTAGCACTAAATTTAGAAATGATTGACAATACTCAAGCTAGTAGTGATAAATCTGAAGAAAATGATAATCAAGAATCCACTTTAGAAGAATCCATTATTAATAACGAAGCAGAAAGCTTAGAAGAAGAATTGGAACATGAAGAAATGCAAGAGGAAGAAAAGCGTCAAATTTCAATATATTTAAATAAATCCATTAGCAATGAAGTAGAAAATGAACTATCATCTAATGAAGATGTAGAAGAAATAGAAAGTTTAGAAAATTATATTGACACTCAAATAAGATTACTTTTATCCGATGAAAACATAAAACAAATGTGGGAAGAGTATAAGAAGTATGTTGATAAAGCAGTACTTGAAGGAATACAGAAATCTGTTTTATGCAGGTAAATAAAGCACCATTATAGTGCTTGTGTTTCAAAATATAATTAAAGATAAAATTCATTTTTGGAAATAATGAATATAAAATAGTCTACAACGATTTCAGTTTGAATTACATAAGAACAGAAATAAATTTAATAAAAGGATCACATCCAATGTTTATGATTATATATATATTAAATTCAAATGGTCCAAAATTTTCACCGAGTTTGGAAGTTATTTCTGATGAAATATTATTTTTAGATAAAATTAATTTGCTCCTTGGAGATATTGTTGAATTAGGTAGTTTTATAGAAAGAGTCTCTAATGATAATACACCATACAATGTAAGTCTTCATAAATATTACATATTATATAAGTAATATAAAATATAAGTAATCCATAAATATACATTCATCTATACAACATCATTTAAATAAATATTTTAATTTTAAGATTGAAATAAGAAATATTGAAGCTGTAAAAATGATATCTGATGAAATCATAGAAAAAGTTAAAAATACTACGAAAAAAGTAATGAATAAGAAAATTATATTAAATACGACAGTATATTAAGTTTGATATAATTTAATATAGTTTTATAGTTAGAAACTATCAGGGTCGTCCATGAAAAAATTATTGACAACACTTAAAGCCATAGAGATATTTCCCCATAACCCATGGTCTAGAAAGGCGCATTTCATACCCTCCCTCAGAAATATTACAACCAGATTTTTTACTAAAAATATTACTTTTAGAAAGATTAGCAATCAAAAGAGAAACAATAAAATTTATTATACATTTCTATTTGAATTTAAAAATATCGTCTAACCCTCCCCAAAATAAAATTTTATACAGATGCCTATTACAGCCTATTATCAATTAATACACCTATAACACAACACTCCCTTACTAGAATATTAATAAGTGAATAATTAATATTATTAGTTAGTATAAACAAGCCTAGAAATAAACAGATAATAAATTTACTCTCCAACTCACAAACTGTTTAATATTTAGTAGTAAAAATTATTTGTATTAGTTTTAGCTTCGATGCAAAGCTGAGAAGGTATTAATTTTATCATGATGTTTTTGTGTGTGTCTGTTGCCACTTTTTCTCAGTTCTCATTGGACCGATTTAAACTTTAGATATTTTCCTTTTATTTTATATCATTTTTTTTTTAAATCTAACACTTAACTTGCTCACAGGGGCGGATTTAAAATAGTAACTTTTTTACAAAAATTAACTTTTGAAATTGTTGGAAATACTGTGTCCTTTAAACATATGTCAAATTAAATCTTATGTCATATACTATGACTAATTGAAAAAAAAAATTTGCCCGACGACTTATCTTCTATGTGCAAATAGTTGCCGTAGTTAACATGTTATTTTTGTGTTAAAATATTTGGTTTCGCTTTTATATTTTCAAGTTTAAATTGCTATAACTTTTAGAAAAATGTATGTATAAACGCAATTTTTTTTTCTAAATACATTATATATATCTCGTTCATTTAACATACTTTTTATTTAAATTTGACTATTTCCCTTTATACAAAGGGTGTTAAAAATTTGAAACATACGTATAAAAAGTAGAATTTTTTCAACTTAACTTTGAAAAATGTTCCGGAAATACTGCTTCCTTTAAATATATGTCAAATTAATGCTTATAATAGATACTATAAGTTCAAAAAAAAAATTGGTCCCGAAACCTTTTCATCTATAGGAAAATGGCCATCGAATTTAACGAAAAATGTAATTTTTATGTAAAAATCACTGTTTAAAATGAAATATTTTAATACTGTCATAACTTTTTGAGAAATGAACGAATTAAAATTATTTTTTTTCATATTGAAACATTAGATATTTTTCTTTCATTTGATATAATTTTTTTGAAAATTTGATTCTAAACCTGCCCTCAGGGGGAATTCAAAAAAACAATTTTTACACACAATTAAAACTTTTTCAATGTAATTTTTGAAAATGTTCCAGAAATATTGACACTTTAATTTAATCTTAAATTAAAGCTTATATTATATACTTTACTTTGAAAAAAAAAATTAGAATTGTAGATTTTCTTCTTGGAGAAAATGGCTTCCGTATTCAAAAACATGCTATTTTTGTGTGTAAAATTCTGTGGTTTGTATTTTTTTTAAAAATATCTTACAAGGGGAATACATTGACTTTCATTAATATTATATAATTTAGATGACATAGAATAAAGTTCATAAGACATAAGAAGTTAAACTTATTTAAATTTTATTGCTTCTTTAAAGTCAACAAAGTAACCTTAGAATTTGAATTAACTTAAATTGCCAAATGCATTAATCGACGAAGAGTTGCCGAATCGGTAACACTAGTGTATTTCACTGTTAAGATACCAGATTCGAATGCGCCTGTGGCAATTCATATTTTGCATTTTTTTTAAGTTAGAAAAAATTTAAATATGGTAAAGGTTTTGTTTACGTGTTATAACTCTAAATTTAAAAACTATTTAATTGAAAAAGAAACACCACTAAACTTATTCATTTTCATTTTATTAAATTCACAATAGTATTTAGACCATTCTCCATTCAATAGTAAAATAATAATAAAAGATTCCTGTTTAACTTTCAATAGATATCCCTAAAATCGACCCTTATAATTTTTTTTTTATTTAAAACTAACATGATATTTACTCTGAAACATAAAAACAAATAAAATTTTAATCTGTACATTTTTATATGACGATAAAACAGAAGGTAATATTCGTAATAAATTACACTTATAATTAAATTTAAACAACTTTCTTTATAATTTTTAATTTTTTTAATATGTTATCTCAATTTTATTATAGGCTCTTACTTATATAACACAATATCAAGAATATTCACCGTTGTGGTCAATTAATCAACAAATAGCATTGTCTCTATTCGTAACTTATGGAAGAGATCTTTCTCCCGATGAAATTGAAATGATAGATGAAATCGATTCAGAAGGAAACCCTATACTTCAATCATCATCGCCAAAACTTATCGATTATAAAAACAAAGTAATTAAAAATTTCAATGTTATAAATTTTAATGTAATAAATTTTATAACTAAAACTAAAAATCACAACCAGATTGATTCTTATGACTGTTTATTACAAAATATCGACAAAATAGAAGACTCCATAATATTTAACAATTGGTTTATGGTAAACCTACAACCATTTAAAATCAATCTTTTAAAATTGATTGTCAGTTGGTCAGATTTATTTAAAAATTATTTAGTTGACAAGGTTGTTAATAGGTACTAAAAAAATTACAAATTAAGTTAGACATCATATAAATTTATTTTGTAAAATAATAATTGAACATTTGTTACCACTAGTTTGCGAGCGTTAAGAGATTTTACTCGAGAAACTGATACAGGTTTATTAAAACCGTTAGAAGAAGGAGATTATGAAGGTCTAGTTGCTATCATGGGCCATTTATTTAAAGTTCGTGAACGTCAAATGAACTATGACTATATGTTTGAACCATTACAGGAAATTTTGGATTTACTTAAAACATACGAAGTTGAAATGCCCGAAGATGTATATATTTTGATGCAGGTAATTCACATCAAATGAAAAGTTATAAAATTAATTTTCTTAATATATTTTGTGTGAAATTTGTAGGAGTTACCAGGAAAGTGGATGACTACAAAAAAAAATGCATTGAACGTAAAATCACAAGTGGTTCCTCTAATCCAAACCGAAGGTTCCATTATTGGTAGACGAATTATACTATTAGGAGTAAGAGAAACAATTTTCAAAAATAATTTTTTATTGGGATCTCAATTCAAGTATAAAAATTAATAATTAGTAAAAATAATTTATAATTATTTATTACATCAAATCTAAATTGTTACAGGTGGGATTGCAAACGTCCATACATAGAAGTAGATAAAGCAGCCAAAAATTTAAATGAATTAGAAGACTTGCACGAAAAACTACTCTCACAAGCCATTTTATTTGAAATTCCTCAACCAGAACCAAATATTTTAGTACCAACAAAAAAAAGCTTGAAGCTAATAAAACAACTATGGGATTTTGTGAGTGTTGTAAAAAGCTGGATCGAATCCTGGCAAGATACTTTGTGGAAAGATGTTGACACTGAAATTATGGATATTGAATTGAAACGATTTGCTAAAGAACTAAAAGGTTTTAAATAACAACATTTTTAGAATTAATTATAAAGAAAATTAATTTTTTAAGGAATGGATAAGGAAATAAGAGAATGGGAAGTTTATATTCGAATCGAAAATATGGTTAAAAATATGATGACATCTTTAAGAGCACTTATTGAGCTACAAAATCCAGCTATGAAAGATCGTCACTGGAATGAACTAATGGAAGTCACAAATGTAAATTTTTTTAATATTTTACATTAAAAAATACTAGTACATACAAGCACAAACATTATTTCACTTAATACTATTTCACTTTTTATATAGTTTTCTAAAAACTATTCTAAATTATTAGGTGCAATTCACTATAGAAAACTCAACTACATTAAACGATTTAGTTAAACTTAATTTACATCAATGTGAAGAAGATGTAAAAATAATAGTTGATAAATCAGTAAAAGAAATGAGCATGGAAAAATCTTTAAAAGAATTTGCTGAAACTTGGAATAACATGGAATTTGAGTATACGCCTCATTCAAAGACTAAATATTTCTTACTTAAAGTAAGGGAAGAACTCATTGAGATTTTAGAAGATAATCAAGTTCAGTTGCAAAATATGATGAGCTCTAAATTTGTTGGGCATTTTTATGACGATGTTTTGACATGGCAAAAAAAATTAAACACTGCAGACCAAATAATAAATTTATGGTTAGAAGTTCAAAGAATTTGGGCATACTTAGAATCTATTTTTATTGGATCTGATGATATAAGAACACAACTTCCTGATGATACAAGAAGATTTGAAATACTTGACAGGGATTTTAAAGTAATTAATAAAGAACTTTTAATGTCTATTAAAATATTGATTTACAATCTTAATTGTATATTTGGTATGATAGAATCTGTTAGCTGATATAAAAACTACACCAAATGTAATAAAAGCTACAAGTAAATTAGGGTTATTCGAGAAACTTTCCAATATTCAATTAGAATTAGGAAAATGCGAAAAAGTACTAACACAATATTTAGAAACAAAACGCTTAGCATATCCAAGATTTTATTTCTTATCACAAGCAGATCTTCTTGACATTTTATCCAATGGAAATAATCCTGAAGCAGTTTGCAAGTTAGCTTAAAATAAAATAATGATTTTATTGATTTATTAAAAACAACTCTTTTTCTTAGACATTTAACAAAATTATACGACTCAATAGGACAATTAAAATTCGGCAAAGAAAAAGTCGCAAATGGAATGTTTGCTAAAGATGGTGAATATGTAGAATTTAATGGACAACTTGATTGCTCTGGACAAGTAAAAATATATTTGAACATATACAAATATGGTCTAGAAATTATATATTTTTTAAAATCATTATTCAAGGATGACTTGTCTATTTATCAGTTAATTATTTCAGTTTAAAATTCGATAATATATTTATTATTATTAAATAATTTATTATTATATTTAGTATTCTAAATTAAAAAACCGTTAAAATTTGCAATTAAAATTTTGAATATTAGAATTAAAAAATTAAATATATAAATTTTTATATTATTGTACCAAATAAAAATACCTGATAGATTAAATTCAACATTAAAAAATGATAAGACTATATAAATAATCAGTATTTTGTTTTTTAATAGCATTAAAACTATTGCCCAATAGTTCTTTTTTTTAACATCCTTATAAAATTAGTGAGAAATTTTATTTTGTATTATCAATTATAAATATTGTGTATATTACTATCAGAAAATTTCATAAAGTAAAATAATAATTTGATAAAAATTATATTTTAAAATTTAAACATGCTACACATAGTTATTAATAATAATTACTAAAATGTAAAAATTAAACATATTAATATAATTCAGGTAGAAAAATGGTTAAACCGTTTAACTGATATAATGCGATCAACAGGCCGATATTATTTTAACAAAGGGGTAAGAAGTTATGATGAAAAACCAAGAAGGTTGTGGATATTTGACTATCCTGCCCAAACTGCTCTGTGTGGTATTCAAATATGGTGGACAACTGAAACGAATGAAGCATTTGCTCGATTAGAACTGGGGCATGAAAATGCTTTGAAGGAATTTAACAAAAAACAAGTAGTTTATTCAATAAGTTAGTCAAAATGTTAAACTATCTGTTGTTAAAATCATTATACTCCTAGATAATTCAATTAAATGAACTTATTGATTTATTATTGGATGACTTGACAGCTGGAGATCGACAAAAAGTTAATACAATCTGCACAATTGATGTTCACTGTCGAGATGTTGTAGCAAAGATGATTTCAATGAGAACTGAAAATAGCGCTGCATTTCAGTGGCAATCGCAACTTAGGCATAGGTACAAAGACTTATAAGCATTGTTAAATCGATTTAAATCCGATTTATTATTAACGATAATCTATTAGGTGGGACTTAAAAGAAGCAGATTGTTTTGCTAATATTTGTGATGCCCAATTTCGATATTCATATGAATATTTAGGAAATACTCCAAGATTAGTAGTAACACCCCTAACTGATAGATGTTACATAACATTAACGCAGGTGATTTTATACTTGAATGTATTTAATTATAGTTTAATATTCTTAATATTTTTAATTAATTTTACTTAATTTAAACTTTGTTTAAAATTTTATATTTTTCTTTTAGTCACTTCATTTAATTATGGGTGGTGCTCCTGCAGGTCCAGCTGGTACTGGTAAAACGGAAACCACAAAAGATTTAGGTAAAGCTATTGGAATGATGGTTTACGTATTTAACTGTTCGGAGCAAATGGATTATACAGTATGTAGAATATGCTATATTATATAAAATTCATTAAAATTCATGAAAAATTTTTAGTCATGTGGTAACATATATAAAGGTCTCGCCCAAACGGGCGCTTGGGGATGTTTTGACGAATTCAATCGAATTTCCATTGAAGTACTTTCTGTTGTTGCAACTCAAGTAAAATCTGTGTTGGATTCGATCAAAGCCAAGAGAAGTACTTGTATTTTGCTAGGTGATACTGTAAATCTAGTAACAACAGTAGGAATGTTTATTACAATGAATCCTGGTTATGCGGGACGTGCAGAACTTCCAGAAAATCTTAAGGCTTTATTTAGGTAAATTACTATATTGTTACTTATTTATATATAAATTATCCCCAAATAGAAATTTATTTTCTAATAAATATATGGCGATTATGACTAATAGCTATTTTTAAAAATTAAATGTTACCAGACCTTGCGCTATGGTTGTACCTGATTTTGAATTAATTTGTGAAATTAATCTTATTGCTGAAGGCTTTCAAAGCGCTCGATTACTAGCTAGAAAATTTATTACATTATATTCACTATGCAAAGAACTCTTATCAAAACAAGATCATTATGATTGGGGACTTAGAGCTATTAAATCATTATTGGTAGTTGCAGGTTCATTAAAAGTAAAATGCATTATGATTAATTTTAAATATATATATTTAATATAAATAGTACATTTTAATGTTTTTAATGATTTTTAGAGAGCCGATAGACTTAGACCTGAAGATCAAGTATTAATGCGGGCTCTTAGGGATTTTAATACTCCAAAAATTGTAACCGATGACGTGCCTATATTTATGGGACTCATAGGTGATTTATTCCCAGCCTTAGATGTACCACGAAAACGAAATTTAGAGTTTGAGAAACAAATTCGTCAAGCTACCATCGATCTAAAACTACAGCCTGAAGATAGCTTCATTTTGAAAGTATTGCTATAAATATATAAAAAAATTTTAATGTTAAATATACTTAAAACACTTCGTTAATAAAGGTGATTCAATTGGTTGAACTGTTGGAAGTTAGGCATTCAGTATTCATTATTGGTAACGCCGGCACTGGTAAATCAGAAGTTTGGAAAACATTATACAAAACATATAGTAATTTAAATTACAAACCGTACTACAATGATATAGAACCAAAAGCAGTAACTAATGACGAATTATTTGGAGTAATTAGTCCTACTACCAGAGAATGGGTTGATGGTAAAATTTAAGTGATTTTAAAATAGACGTATATGCAAATGTTTTAATTATTTCTCTAGGTCTTTTTTCATGCTTAATCAGAGAACAAGCACAAATGTCTGGGAATGGATCAAAATGGATGGTTATGGATGGTGACATAGATCCTATGTGGATAGAGTCACTCAATACTGTTATGGACGATAATAAAGCACGTTATACGTTTAATTTATTTTATTTTTTTTAATTTTATCTAATTTATAAATTAATTTATGACTAGGTATTAACATTAGCCAGTAATGAACGTATTGCTTTAACACGATCCATGCGTCTCATATTTGAAATATCAAATTTAAGATCAGCTACTCCTGCTACAGTATCTCGAGCAGGAATTCTTTATATAAATCCAGCAGATTTAGGATGGAATCCATATGTTGCAAGTTGGATTGATACTAGAACCAGTACAACTGAAAAAGCAGCACTTGTAGTTTTATTTGATAAATACGTACCTGTGTGCTTGGAGGCACTGAAGTCTAAATTTAAAATTATAACACCTATACCTGAAATAACACATATTCAAATGTTATGTACATTACTAGAATGCCTTTTAACACCTACTAACGTACCACCTGAAACAACCCGTGATATATATGAAACATACTTTGTATTTGCGTGTATTTGGGCATTTGGATCAGCAGCATTTCAAGATCAGGTATACATATTGTTCTGTGTGTAACAATAACGTCACTAATTGACTAAAAATTATATAGTAAAAAAACACACCCTAATAATATCCCTGTAAACGAGTGAGTTAATTTTCATATTGTTAATATAAAACTTAAAAGATTTATGTTAACGATACGATAAATTTATCTGTTTTTAATGAAATAGCTAAGTAATGAATGAAACAAATTTTTTTTATGAAAATTTACGAATTAAACTACATTCAAAACAACATAATAAAAATTTAGATGGTTGTTACATAATAAAATTAATACATTTAAATTTTCTTAATAAGTGTTAATTTCACAGTAACTTAATTTTCTTATAGCTAAAACATTATTTGGAAACTTAATAAGTTACTAGTAATATAATATTTTTACAATGACTTAATTATTATAATTTACATGATTTTTTATTTATTAATCCTTTATGAAGAGTATCATTGTGTGTTCATAGCTTATTGATTGGAGAAACGAGTTTACAAAATGGTGGACATCTGAATTTAAAACTATTAAACTCCCTTCAGTTGGTCAAGTTTTTAATTATTTTATTGATCCAGAAACAAAACAATTTAGACCATGGTCAGAACTTATGATATCTTTTGATTTAGACGCTGACGTACCTCTTCAAGTAATTCTTTTTATAACAAGGTCTTCAAATCAATGGAAATGAATTTCCCTCAATTTTTATTTTGTAAAACTATATATTTTTCTAATAAATAAATATCCAATCCCTTTAGGTTAGAAAATTGTGTTAGTATACATGTATAAATATATTTTTTAAATAATTGGAATGCATTATTTGTTTAGCAAACTTTAGTTAGTACTAGTGAAACAACCAGAATACGATATTTCCTTGATCTTTTGATTGACAAACGCAAACCAATCATGCTTGTTGGTTCCGCTGGTACTGGAAAATCGGTCATAGTTAATGAAAAACTTAAATCCCTTCCTACTGATCAATATGCAGTAACAAATGTTTCGCTTAATTTCTACACAACATCAGGTAAATATAGATTAAAATTTAGATATGCATAATAAAAAAAAATGCTATTTAAAATAAAAATCAAAAAATGTTCTGTTTTGTTTATTAATATACCACTATGTATATTAAGGTTAACCATTAGGTTTTAACTTACATTATTTTTGATCCAGCGAATACTTTGCATTCCTTAATTTTAAAATCATTTTTGCAGTTTGAGACTGCGTTAATAGCATGTTTATTATTATTTGTTCCTAATAAAAATTATTTTTTCGAAATTTCAAAATGACCATTTTTTAATTCTATTCTTATCGAAAATTCTAACTAATCGATAATAAATTTTTATAAGAAAGTGCTTAAATAGCTATTTTAAAAATTAAAAAAAAAATGAAACAAATTATTTTTATTTATTTTCTTATAAGAGGCAAATAATAATTAATATGCTTTCAATGTAGTGCCGAACTGTAAAAAAATATTAAATTAATAACTTATAACTAATATAATTATTATTTATAACTTTTTATAACGATGTTTTCATCCGATTTACTACTTTTTAAAGAAGTGACTTATTAAAATTTTCTCTGTATCATTCGTACATGTACTAAATGAAAAATAATTTCTTATAGAAATGTTACAAATGATTTTGGAGAAACCTTTAGAAAAAAAAGCTGGAAGAAATTATGGTCCACCAGGCGGCAAAACATTGATTTATTTTATAGATGATATTAACATGCCTGAGGTAACTATAACACTAAACATGTTCATTAATTCATTTCTTCATTTCTATAAACTAGTTCTAAAAAACCATCTTTATTTTTAGAAAAATGGTGTCTAAATTATATTTTTTTACTTAAAAAATATAAAGTAAAATAAAAACTTTAGTTTTTACCTAAGTCTTAAAAACATTTCACCCTCCTAATGCCTCTCTAAATTGAATCAACTTTAGTTTTTTTATGACCATATTTAAATTTGACTAGTATATGTATTGAAAAATTACATAATTGAGAAAATATTGATCTATCTTGACAATAACATTTGATAGAGTATTGCGAAAATTACTACCATATTTAAGTATAGAGTAAGAGTGAAGCGCGTAGTTTAACTATTTTAAAAATAAGAAATTTCTCAGCTACATTTCTCTTTCCACACAGATATATTATTATTGATAACTTCTGAAATAATGATTAAATATGTATGTTGTCATTTAAAAAATAAAGTGACATCTCTATAAATTATATTGTATTGTAAAATATAATCGATAACTAACAAATTGAAAAATATTTGTAACTTGAAAAAATCAAAATATTTATTTTCAATATTATATTTTTATTGAGTAAGTTATGATAAACCCATCACCCTGAATATACAGGAGGATTCCTTAACTACGTGTCACGAAATATCTTTGAAAATATTAGAGCTAATCATTATTTTATTTTTCAAACAATAATGCATTTTTGTTAAGCTACTTTATACGAAAAATGAATTTTCTGCTACTAAACCCTAATTTTGTATTAATTCCCGATTTTTAGATAGTAATCTTAATTTTTATTAAATCATTATATTTATTAAATTTCCAAAAAAAATTTTTTTTATTTAATTTTCAACAAGATACAGCTACAGATCACAATACTTGTTTTTAAAAATATGACAATATTATCATATATACCGAAAAACACCACCGGTTATATATCCGGTAAACTGTAAATGTATTTCATTGCATTGCTCAGAAGTGGTACTGCTATTGATTTATTGTGTTCTTGCATTGTATAAGTAAGCGTTTATTATTTATTAATAAGAGACTCATTAAAAATCAAATAAGATTAAAAAAATTTGTTTTTTAATTGAATATACCTGATGGTAAAAAAAAAGTTGTTATTTGAAAATCAAAGGTTGATGATAATTTAGGTATAAGGGTTGGTAATAGAAAATTAAATTTTACTCAAACAGATGCCAAAAAAAAAAAAAAAATATATTATTGCAAACAAACAATGAGTATCTCTTATATTTTCAAAAATATTTCGTGAGGAGCATATAAGGAATCACTCTGTAAATCAATTATCATAGGTATGAAACTTACATATATATAATTTAACAATACTTTATACTTATCAAGGTTGATCTTTATGGAACTGTGCAACCACATACTCTTATTCGACAACATATGGATTACAAACATTGGTATGACAGAACGAAGCTTACCTTAAAAGACATAAATAATGTTTTGTTCACATCGAGCATGAATCCAACTGCAGGAAGTTTTACGATAGATTCAAGATTACAAAGACATTTTTATGTATTCGCTTTAGGGTACGTAAACAAACTTTTACTTTTTAAAAATAAAATTAATTAAATTCTATGTCAATTTAGTTTCCCATCTCATGATGCTCTATTTACAATTTACAACTCAATTTTCTCACAACATTTATCAAATCCTGCACATAAATTTAACCAATCAATAATTAAATTGTCAGCACAAGTTGTACAACTTGCTATAAGTTTTCACGAAAAAATTCAAACTGTGTTTTTGCCTACAGCTATAAAATTTCATTACATTTTTAATTTGAGGGATATGAGCAACGTATTTCAGGTAAACTTAACTAAACCAAAAATAACTAAACGTGAATAACTAATTTTTTTGTATAACATAGGGATTAATGTTTGCCACTGGAGAATGTGTGACAACAGCCAGCTCAATGATTCGTCTTTGGTTACATGAAACGAGTCGAATTTACGGTGACAAATTAGTTGATAAAAAAGATCAAGAAACTTTTACAAAAACTATAATAGAACAAATAAAAAAAATATTTAATGTAAGAATTTCTATACATTGAATTTTTTAATAACTATTAAGTAAAACAAATTCTCTAGCGTTTTACCAAAATTTACGAAAAGTAAAAAAAAAAGATTATTATACTAGTCTAATGTATCGAGAACTATTTTTTACATTTCAAAAATGACGATTTGCATAAAACCGTATTGATATTTAACATTTTATTTTTACTCTCCTGCTAAAATTGATATATTTTAACACCAAAATAATAGTGCAATAACTCAAAAAATATTAATGTAAATATAACATTTTACAACTGTAAAATTATAGAGTAAGAGTATTAAATTATTTAATTAGATTATCTCAAAAATAAGTATTTTTAGTTACTATGTTATCATCTTGATAGTGAGATATTAGCTCGCCGAAAGAACCACAGAATTGTATCGAAAATTGTCAACAATTAAAAAACGAGGGTTAATATTAAATAGTATAATTGAATAACATCAACTATATTTATATTTTTATATGCATTTATAAATTCTATCCGTAAAATACTTTTATAGTCAAAAATATTTTATTTTGAATAAAGCGAAAATACTTCCAAAAGATACTTATGATTAAATAAATATTGGTATTTCTAGGATATTCAAGATAGTGAGTATTTGACACATCCATTGTTATATTCTCATTTTGCGGAAGCCATTGGTGATCAAAAATATATGCCTGTACGGTCTTGGACAACGTTACAAAAACTCTTAACTGATGCTATGAATTCCTACAATGAATTAATTGGTGCAATGAATCTTGTACTATTTGAAGATGCAATGTCTCACGTTTGTCGAATAAATCGTATATTAGAATTGCCAAGAGGTAATGCTTTATTGGTTGGAGTTGGCGGAAGTGGAAAACAATCGTTAGCACGTCTTTCGGCATTTATATCATCACTTGAACCATTCCAAGTACAACTTAGAGCATCCTATGGTGTTAATGATCTAAGAGCAGATCTTGCTTCATTATATCTTAAAGCTGGTTTAAAAAACATTGGTATTATGTTCCTAATGACTGATTCCCAAGTAGCGGATGAGCGATTCTTAGTACTCATCAATGATATGTTGGCTAGTGGTCAAATACCTGATTTATTCGCAGATGATGAAATTGATAATATTATACAAACAATTGGACCGGAAGTAAATCTTAAAATCTTTTTTTTTTCTTTTAATTTTATTGTAATTTAAATTTTTTAGGTAAAAGCAGCTGGCTTTCCAGAAACTAAAGAAAATGGGTGGATATTTTTTATTAATAAAGTGCGATCTTTACTTAAAACAGTATTATGTTTTTCACCAGTCGGAAGCACATTAAGGGTACGAGCGAGACGATTTCCTGCACTGGTCAATTGTACGTCTATTAACTGGTTTTATGAATGGCCAAAAGAAGCACTTGAATCTGTATCTTTTAGATTCTTAAGCAACTTAGATGAGCTAACAGTTAAACTGAAAAAACCTGTATCTTTGTTCATGGCACATGTACATAGTTCAGTTAATGATGTATCATTGAGATACTTAGCAAATGATCGTAGATACAATTATACAACACCCAAATCATTTTTGGAACAAATAACGTTATATATGAAGCTATTAGTATCTAAGACAAATGATATTAAATATGGAATATCTAGATTCCAAAATGGAATTAAAAAATTAATAAGCTGTGCGGCACAAGTACGTAAAATAAACTAATAGTAACGATATCAATGAAATTTATTCATGATAATAATTATAAATTATAAATTATGCTTGCTTTTATTATTAGTATCACGTATAAAATTCATTTATATTATCTATAGGTTGACGGATTAAAAGCAGAATTAGATGTTCAGGAAGTAGAATTGGCGAAAAAAAATGCAAAAGCGGAAGAACTCATAAAAATTGTCCAAAAAGAATCAGAAAAAGTGAAAATAGAAAAAGAAAAAGGTATATTATACACTAAAATTACGAAAACTTAAAAATATTATAGATCAAATTTAATTTTTTTTCCAATTATATAAATAAAAAAGAATTAAAACAAAAAAAGATGTATTGCACTAAGGTTTGATTCGAATTTTTTTATCATAACCCATAAAGTGCTAGTTACTCACATGTTTCTTAATTACATAGGCTCGGAGTTTTTTTTTTTTTTATGAAGAAAAAACTAATTGAATCATATATTTACTAATGTGTAATCTTGATTTTATTATTATTGTTAATAAGAGATTTTTATTATTTTTTTAAGAGTATTCACAAAAAATGTCAAAACATTTTTTTCCTAGTATTCAGCATGTTAAAACTATAAATTAGAATTCTTAAGTCAATTTAATGTAAATAGTATGCTTGAGAGAAAAAAATATCCAGAAGATTAAACAAATTAACAAATAGCGACCTTTATAAAATTTATTTTTAAATAAATGTTAAATGATTTATCTTTTTGACATATAAATGGTAATATACAAAGATGACATTGAAAAATTAAACTTCAATCTTTTTAGGTCACTTCAATATATAATATATATTCGACAGTTAAATTATAAATGTAAATATAAATAATAATAAATATTTTAATTTTACTTTAGCTGCGGAAGAAGAATACAAGGTTAAATTAATTGAGGAGGATGTAGCATTAAAACAAAAGATGTGTGCAGAAGATTTAGAAAAGGCAGAACCAGCATTAATTGCAGCTCAAGAAGCTTTAAATGTCTTGACTAAGGTTACTAATAAAACAACAAAATAATAATCATATTTCACCTAAACATATGTTTAAACAACTACTATATTTATAGCAGTATTATTTTTATTATAGGATAGTTTATCTGAATTAAAAAAATTCCCTTCTCCTTCTACACAAGTAATCAACGTTTGTGCTGCAGTATTGGTTTTGTTAACACCAGATACACCAGCAAAAATACCAAAAGATAGAAGTTGGAAAGCTTGCCAAGTATATTGAAAAACTATATATATTTTTTTTAGTTATTTAAAAATCATAACGATCTTACCAAAGGGGAGATTTTCTTTACCATTGTTACTCCGGGATAGGTGGTTAGTCCGTTACTGGAGAGAGGGATGGCGACTCCAATACTGAACTGATTTTTCGACAAATAAATCAACTCGAGGATTGTACTACCGCGTTAACGATTTGACCACACAATATATAATTTTTCAAGAGACTCTTGAAAAACTATATATTTATTTATTAACTTAATGATTGTATTATTATTAATAACAACTTTTTTTAGTTAAAATGTCTTCTAGAATAATAAGATTTAAATTTGAATTTTACAGGCCATGATGGCCACAGCTGACGGATTTTTGAGAGCACTTGTAAATTATAATAAAGAGAAGATGAGGGCTGATGTAGTTAAAGCAATTCAACCTTATATAAATGACCCAGAGTTCGATCCAAATATTATAAGAGGGAAATCACAAGCGGCTGCTGGTAAAAAAAATTAACTGATTACAGTGAAACCTTGTTAATCCGGATCAAATAATGCACAATTATGATTAGATAGTATTTTATTAGAGAGTCAAAACCCATCCAAAACGTCCAATAATCCTTGTAAACGTCCAATAAACACTTAGGAAATATTTGATAATACTCTCCAACACAGCGGAATTACGAAAAAATTCTATCCTGGAAAATTAATCAAACCGGTTCACCTTGTTTCCAAATAAAGTGATGAGCAAAAAAAGAAGTCACCAATGAAAAATACTCAATGCCTATCTGTAGATAATATTAGTTTTTAATAGCTATTGTGAATTGTTTTATTTTGACGGCTGATTTCTCATAGTAGAACAATTTTGTAACTGTTTTCTTTGTTAATATTGTACTGTTGAAATAATATTATTAATTTGATATTATTTAAAAATAGTCAAACGTTCCAGAATATTGTCAAAAATTTAGTTGAAAGACATTTTTTGGTATGCGTAAGTGATCTCTTTTAAATTCTTCTTTACTTAAGGGTTTCATTGTATTTTCAAAGAAGTATACTAGAAGAAAAAAATTATAGAAAAATTGTAATAAAAATTATTATTATTATTATTGTTAAGGAATTTGTTCTTATCACAATTTTTTGTTTTCTATAATTTAAATATTTTAATGAATTAATATAATTATAACTTATGGTGGGTACATGATAATTACCAGTAGTTCAATTATCCAAATATCAGTTTTTATTAAAAGAAACCCAAAAAAATCATTTCTTGGAGTAGTAAGATAGTGAAATAATTATGTGAGATACTAATTCATATCTTATGTTCGATAAATGTAATTATTTCATTTAGTTTTTTCAAGTTAAGGTCTAACTTATTTTTATATAAATATATTTTTAAATAAATATACTTGTAATTTTCATCATTTTTTACTTGAGGGGACTAAATTCCCAAAATTTCCTCATCAAGTAAATTTTCGCATGTTGTAATAAAAAAATATCGTGAGGGAAATTTTGAGTTGGTAGTAATAAAAATGAAACATTATCTCCTTACATCACTGGTCACAGATTAAATATTTCATGTAATTTTCCCGGTATTCCAGTGGCCTAATCAGCTGCTCCTCTTCCTTATAAACCTGTCTCATCATGATTGTATATAATGAAGCTCGCATTAACCAGATTTTACTGTATTTTGTTTTTTTTACTTAAGGTTTATGTGCGTGGGTTATAAATATTATGAAGTTTTATGATGTATGGCAAGTCGTTGAACCAAAAAGAAGAGCTCGAGATCAAGCGACTGAGGAACTAAATGCAGCTAGAAATAAACTCACGGAACTTAGAAATATGATAATAGTAAATTTCTTAAGTGGTTTCATTCACCTTAAAATAGAGCTTACTACTGATATCATATATTTACTTAGGGATTGGAAAGAAAACAAAAAGTTTTAACTGATGAATTTGAAAGTGCCGTAGCTGAAAAGATCAAATGTCAAAATCAAGCAGATGAAACTGCCATGAGAATAGATTTAGCCAACCGATTAGTTAATGGTTTAGCATCTGAGAATGTTCGGTGGAAAGAAAGTGTATCATCGTAAGTTTAATTTAATAGTATTTGTTTGAGTTGAGTGTAATTAATTTAACACTCATGTAGTAAGAATATTTTATCGAATAAAATTCTTAATTTCAGACTACAGAAAAGTTTGCAAACATTGCCTGGGGATATTCTCATAGTTTCAGCATTTGTATCTTACGTTGGATACTTTACAAAAATATACAGACAAGATTTAATGAAAGTTTCATGGTTACCATTTTTCAAGGAAGTTAAAGTAATAAATAACAATTTATGGCTTAAAAATTTTAATTGTCAGTATTAATTGGATATTCGTGTATTAGCCTGAAATACCCGTAACTGATCATTTAGATCCTCTAATTTTGCTCACTGATGATGCCCAAATCGCAGCTTGGAATAATGAAGGGTTACCCAATGATCGAATGTCTTCTGAAAATGCCACTATACTAACAAATTCTGATCGCTGGCCACTCATAGTTGATCCGCAGGTAATTCACAGTACATTAGTTATTAATGAACAAATAAAAATTTATAGTTTTCACATGACGTTATATATTTAGTCACAAGGAATAAAATGGGTGAAAAATAAATACGGAAAAGCTTTAAAAGTTACTAGACTGAGCTTTAAAAACTACTTAAGTATTATTGAAAATTGTGTACGAGATGGGCATGTTCTACTTATTGAAAATATAGGAGAAAACATCGATCCTGTTTTAGACAACGTCATTGGTCGAAATTTAATTAAAAAAGGAAGGTAATATTAATTGTTATTAAATGTAATTACAATTTAATCAAAATACCATATTAACATTATTTTTCTTTAGAGCGGTTAAGATTGGTGAAAAAGAAGTAGATTTCAGCCCTAATTTTAAGCTTATATTACATACAAAACTATCAAACCCTCACTATAAACCAGAATTGCAAGCACAAACAACATTAATTAACTTTACAGTAAATCGTGATCAGCTAGAAGATCAGCTTTTAGCAGAAGTCGTTAAAGTTGAGAGACCAGACTTAGAAAAACTTAGAACAGAGCTAACAAAACAACAAAACGGTTTCAAAATCACTTTAAAACAACTCGAAGACGGTCTATTACAAAGGTTATCATCAGCAGGAGGTGAAATTTTAGGAGATAAAGAACTTGTTTTGAATTTGGAAAAATCAAAGAAAACTGCTACAGAAATTGAAATAAAAGTAGTTGAAGCTAAAACAACTTCTAAAAACATTGACATTGCTCGTGAAGAGTACCGTGTGGCAGCAACTAGGGCTTCCATTCTTTACTTTATAATGAACGATTTGATCAAAATTAATATGATTTATCAGTTTTCGCTTGAAGTAAAATTTTTCATTAAATATTATTTGATTGTATTTTAGAAATATTATATTTTTATCATTTCAGGCTTTCAGTGTTGTTTTTCAAAGAGCTATGCGACACACTGAGAAAGCAAATACACTAAACGAGCGAATTACTAAAATTATAGACAATATTACTTATCAAACATTCATTTATACCAGTAGAAGTTTATTTGAAAGAGATAAATTGATTTTTATAACACAAGTGGCAATTCAAGTAAAAAATTTAAATCAGATTCATTTGTTCAAATATCTAAACTATAATCTATACAATTAAAATTATTCTAGATACAACTCCAAGCTCAAAAAGTAAAACCTACAGAACTAGATTATTTATTAAGAAGGCCTTATATTGTAGGCCTGACCAGTCCATTTGATTTCATATCGTCCAACGTTTGGGGAGCTATAAAGGCACTCGTCATGTCTGACGATGAATTCACGTACGTGATAATAATTATGTTATTATTTACGTTTCATTCCCTAAAATTAAGTATTTTTACACTTTTTTTTTTTATTTTAGAGGTTTAGATAAAGACATTGAAGCGTCTGGCAAACGATGGCAAATTTATATGGAAAGTGAAGCCCCCGAAAAAGAAAAATTGCCACAAGATTGGAAAAACAAAACACCTTTACAAAGACTTTGTATATTAAGATCTATGAGGACTGATCGTATGACGTATGCATCAAAAGCTTATGTGGAAGAAGTTTTAGGAGTTAAATATACTAATTTTAGACCTCCTGAGTTTTCTGAATCATTTAAAGAAACTACATCACGAACGCCAGTATTTTTTATTCTATCGGCAGGAGTTGATCCAACGCGGGTAATTTGTTTTTTGCAATTTAATACATTTATTAATAGAATTATGTTATGTAATTTTTTTACTTTGATTTTAGGATGTCGAAGCAATAGGAAGGAAAAAAGGTTACACAATTGAAAAAAGAAATTTCCTTAATATATCACTTGGGCAGGGTCAAGAAAAAGTAGCTGAAGATGCTATGGATTTATCATCCAAGATGGGTTACTGGGTCATGTTACAAGTATTTTAATGTACACATAAAATATAATATTTTAACTAATTTAAAATAAATGTGTTTAAATAGAATGTACATTTAGTAAAGAAATGGCTACCTATATTAGACAAAAAAATGGAAGCTTCCTTTGAACATCCTCATAAAAATTTTAGACTATTCATAAGCGCTGAACCAGCACCAGCAGCTATGTTTCACATAATACCTCAAGTACTACCTCATTAAAAACTGATTATCTTTTAATTATAAATAATAATATTATACTTTTTATAGTTGAGACTGTTTTAATGAGAGACTTTTCACTCATTATTTCACAGTCATGTACAAATTTGTTAATTTACTATTGTACAACATTGTACAGATTATAAATATTCCGACTCATAATAAATATTTTTGAAAAATAAAAAGTAGTCATAATAATAGTGTAATCATTTTATGTATTTTAATAATAATAATTTTAGGGAGTTCTAGATGGATCAATTAAAATCACTAATGAATCTCCAACAGGAATGATGGCAAATTTGCACAATGCCCTGGATAATTTTAATCAAGAGACACTCGAAATGTGTTCAAAAGAAGGAGAATTTAAAGCAATTTTATTCAGTTTATGTTATTTTCATTCTTGTGTCCTAGAAAGATCGAAATTCGGAGCTCAAGGATGGAATAGATCTTATCCATTCAATGTTGGAGATCTTACAATATCTGTTAATGTACTTTACAACTATTTAGAAGCAAATAACAAAGTACCATGGGAAGATTTAAGGTATTTATTTGGAGAAATCATGTATGGTGGACATATAACCGATGACTGGGATAGGCGGTTATGCAGGAACTATCTTGAAGTTTTTATGAATCCAAATTTGGTACAGTTTAAACAATCTATTTATATAAAACTACTAAACGCCATAAATTTTTTTGAAATAAATTTTATTTCTTGATAAAAGTAATATTAGTTGAAGATAATAAGACATAGCATGTGTTAGACCTATCTAAGCTCGTATAGAGCACCTATCATACTTTTTCTATGTTTTTTTTTTTTTTGTTATATTTTTACATATGGACATAAGATGCATAATACTCCAAAATTAAAATTTGCGCAATACATAAATACTTATAAGTTTTGCAATAAAATAGTTTAAAATGTATGTATCTTTCATGCCAATTTAGAATTCAAATTTTCTTACAGAAATTAATTATAATATGCAGTCTACAAATAATGTTTCTATTCACTCCACTTTTTTCTGCGGGATTATATATACTACAATATTTAAAATACTTCATTTGTTAATTTTTTTAATAAATTAATGAAATTTATTATCTTGTAGTAATTTATTGAAATAACAATTCTGTATAATTTTATAATTTCATGGATCAGCTGGAGGGCGATCTCGCATTTTCTCCTGGTTTTATGGCACCTCCTAACTTGGATTATAAATCTTATCATCAGTATATTGAAGATTTACTACCTCCTGAAAGTCCACTACTGTATGGATTACATCCAAATGCCGAAATAGGTACGCTTACTACAAGATCAGAAAATTTATTTGCTACATTAATGGAAATGCAACCGAGGGATGCTGGTAGTTCTGGTGGAGGTGGAATATCTAGAGATGAAAAAGTTAATATTATTAGTTTTGTTATATTCTAATAACTCTTATCTTCGTATATTTCAATAAATATTTATTTTGCAGGTTAAACAAACGTTGGATGATATTTTGGACAAAGTACCCGAACCATTTAACATATCAGACATGGTAGCGAGAGTAGAAGAACGAACACCATACGTTGTTGTATCTTTCCAAGAGTGTGAACGAATGAACATGTTAATGAACGAGATACGAAGATCGTTAAAAGAACTTAACTTAGGATTAAAGGTATAATAAAAGTTACTAAATAATTATTTTGTAGGGAAAAAAAAGATTTTTACGTCGATATATATTCTGATGTTGGAGATTAACTAACATTTTGTTAATAACTTTCAATTAAATAGGGTGAACTAACAATTACCTCAGTTATGGAAGCATTAGAAGAGTGTTTGTTCATGGACAAAGTTCCACCTAGTTGGGAGAAACGTGCTTATCCATCATTACTATCTCTATCCGCTTGGTATGCAGACTTACTAATCCGGCTTCGTGAACTCGAAAGCTGGGTCAGTGAATTTCAAGTAAGCGAATATAAATAATCAATATAATAAATATTGTGGTTGATACTTAAAAAAATTACATTTTAGTTGCCATCGTCAGTATGGTTAGGTGGATTTTTCAACCCACAGTCTTTTTTGACGGCAATCATGCAAAATACAGCCCGCAAGATGGAATGGCCTTTGGATAAAATGTGCTTACAATGTGATGTTACAAAGAAATTTAAAGAAGAAATTTCGTAAATTCTTATAATTATCATTCATCGACTCATAATTTGTATAATTTTCTATTTTAGGGTGGCACCTCGAGAAGGAGCAATGATAAGTGGATTGATAATGGAAGGAGCTCGATGGGACATTAATATGGGATGCATCGTTGATTCAGTGCTAAAAGAACTATTTCCAATAATGCCTGTAATACACGTCAAAGCCATTATCAAAGACAAACAAGATTTACGAAATATGTATGAATGTCCAGTATACAAAATAAAATTAAGAGGACCAACTTACGTTTGGACATTTAATTTGAAAACACGACAAAAGCCATCTAAATGGGTATTGGCTGGAGTTGCTATTCTTTTAAGTATTTAAATGTGTATTATTTATTTATTAATATTACTTAATTTTTTTAAAAAAATTACTTTATTGTTATACCTAATATGAGTATATCGCATTCTTTCAAATATCTTAAAACTTGGTTAAATAAATATTATACTTTTCAGCTTTTATACTTGTCATGTAACTTTATTTGTACACAAATTAAATAAATATGTGATACTACAGTAAATATTTTTAGTCAATCAACGCATTACTAAATTAAAACCTTCTATTACTATATAACTAATTATTTCAGTCCACAAAAGAAAGTTTCAATTATTTTAAGCTAATTACAACTTTTCTTATATTAAGCTAATATGTAGTTAAAAAAACATCGCGTCTTATCACGTATTAACTAAAAAGAAGTTAATTGATTCTAATTAACAAAATTAAATCGTATATATGGGGTCATCAACTACCGTTTACACTGTTTTTGGCAGAGTATGACAGGTTTCCAATCCTATTTAGGCAAATACAAACGGATAACTAGTTCACAATTTATATTATGTGACGATCAAGAGGATGATGTAAATCATAGATTTTTTAAATATTAATTAAATATTAACGATGTCGTCGTCACCTGACACCACAAATAGGACAACGAAAAAAAAAATAGAAAAATTGAGAAGTTGTTGTGAAATACATGGCCAACATTAGGCGGATCGAGGCAAAAAAAAGACAATCAATTAACATTTCCAGGAATTTTATTTAGAATAATAGTATAATCTGAAAAAACAATTAAACATATAATTATTTAAAGTTTTATAATTTAGTATAACAATATAATTGTATTATTAATTTTTTTTTATATAAATAATGGTTTACAATTGCGTATATATAAAATTATGACCAAATACGTGAATCATATACACCATTCAAAGCTAAATTAAATTTAAGATTGTTTTTATGTATTGTACAATTAAACGAAGAAAGACGTTTCAATGACTATATTCTACTATGAGTAAATGGCCCCTTGAGTCAATAGAGACATAATTTTGGTGAATATAATCAACTTTAGTTTCTGTTTTGTTATAACACTTGGGTCGAAATAAAATTCAGTGATAACATTTAATACAATTATTTTTCATTAAACAATTTTTTTTTGAAAATACGGTTATTAATTATAACACTGTGTTGGCTTAAAAATCATATCAAAATTTATTTTAGAAAATGTTCCAAAAAACCTACCTTCTCTAAACCTGCATTAAATTAAAGATAACACTATAATATTTAAGATAAAAAGTGAAACTGTCTGATATTACGATTTCTAGGAGTCATTAAATCTTACAATTTTTGGTAAAATTATTCTATTTTATAATACTTTGCATATTACGGAATGTTTACTTAATTCTAAATTATTTCAAATAAAATGGTTTTTGTAATATATGATAAAAAAAGAAAAACTTCCCGGAGTAAACAAACTCTAAAGTCAAAATACATGTAATTTTTGGTAGATACTATAAACATTTTTTTTAAGACGCATAGAAGGATTTTAGAGCAGTAAGTTTAATCATTGTCAGACATCAAACAATACAAATCTAAAAAATACCTCAACTCCACTTACTGGATTCCTACTATATTTTGTTGTAATAGTAATTTTATAAAATTTTACCCAAAATACAGCCGTTAACTTCTGATATAATCATTTTTTTTTCCTCAAAAAAATATCATTGTTGCAACCCCAAATAAATGTACAGTTAGTATCCAACATGGTTGGTTACGTACAGTCTACTATTTTTTAGTCGGTTGTTAAACAAATCATGCGGTTTTTGTTTTGTTTTGTTCGGAGGGCGTGATAATAGAATCCGCAGAACTGACAACGACTATAAAATATTTTTACATTTGTCATTTCATGCGGCATTGATAGTTTATAGAATATTTTTTGTGCCAAATAGATTTTACTTTTACACCATTTATTAAAGTCTTACTATAAAGAATCATTAGCTATTAGATTATTATTTTTTTTTAAAGAATAAAAATGTGTTCCCGAAATTGTAACATTGTTACCGAAATGCGTATGTCGTTTTATGACTTTTTGAATTAAATAATATTTTTTAGTTTTTAATTAATATTTTTTTATATAATTTCAAATAATATTAGCCATGAGTGATGAATTTTTATAATATTTAAGAAAAAAAATTATTAATAATCATTATAAAATACATTAAAAATTCTCAATTATTTAAATTTATAAATTGAAAATCGCCCTCTATTTTCATTGGCTTAACACTGAAATTCTCAACATGAAAATATAAAAATAATTAATAATATTTTATTTTGAATACAATTATTGTTTTTTATGTTTTTTGGTATATTTAAAGTTACCTATTTATCATTTTTAGATTAGTATTATTTTTTTTTAATTCCACCTCGTTTTAGATATTGGATACCAGATACTCTTCTGAAGTAAACTGCTATTACTAGAGTACACTAGAGGACACTAGAATGTGGGCACCACGCTCATAGATTAGTATAAATAATTACAAAAATTACACATTTTTTTAATACGCATATAAGAACAAATTATCTAATTTTATGTATATATTTTATTGTAAATGTTTATTTTATTTATATGTATATTTTTTGATTTTATAAACATTTCTTATCTGAGTAAAGCTCATTCTACTTATTACGAGTATGTGCCGAAAAACATCAAAGTATGAAATATTACAAAAAGTAACTCTCATGTAATTATTACACGTTAAATAAAACATTTTATATGTCCAATGAAAAAAATACATTTACATGGACATTACATTTAATTCATCACATAAAATAATTTGTCATTAAGACACCGTTTTTTGGGGGGGGGCAATATACAAAAGTACTTTAAAAAATATTTCTTACTTACAAAAACGAAATTACCACCAACGTTTATAATATTAATTGGAAATTTAAAAAAATATCAGAAAATGTAGATGAGCATTTTTTTTATTAGTATTATTATAAGTATTTTGTTTTATTGATATCTGACGATAATTAAATCACTGCCATAAAATCAATCTAAGCCTATTTGAAACGAATTTTAAAAAATTAACATACCCACCAAAAGGTACATGATTTTCGACTTTAGAGCCGGTTACTCAATAAAGAAATGTCGTCGAAATGCACTATTTTTTTTATCGTATAGTATAGAAGAAAATCTTAAATTTTTATGTAGTTGTGAATGGTGTGAGTATTCTGTTGCCATGCAAAACGCTTTAAACATTAAACTGAATATTATAAGATTTTCAATCATTGCCCGATAACTCCTAAAAATCCAACAGCTTTTCTTTTTTCATCTTAAAGTACATGATATTTCTTTTGGTGTAGGTTTTTAGAGCATAATCAAAAATTTATATTTGAAATTATATTTGTATAACAATGAAACCAAAACAAAAACATTGTTTAATACCTGAAACAGTGTGAAATGGAAAACACACTAAAAATAAAACATATATCACATTTACATTGTGTACACAATTCGGTTAATATTTTACTTTCTTTGCTTTTACTCTGTTCAGTTTTCTTTGGCCATCGATTTTATTATTTATTTGGCGTATACTTCCGACTCTTGTACATGTTAGCTCAGAGTTTTTCATTTTCTCACCCCCACCCTCCGGATACTCCCTTTTCCTACAACCGCAATTCCCGTTTGGCTTTTGGACTATACCGGCGACGCGACAGCAAGACGTTATTACGACGTACAACCCCGTCGTACGTTTACGTGCGGGTAACGCACACAAGTCGAGGGTGGGTGACGCAAGGGATGTTCCATCCTTTCGTTACTCGCCCTCCGAGCCGTTTTTTCTTGATGTCGTTTTTCAGTTCTTCTCTTTTTCTCCCCCGTAGGCACAAAACGACCAGAGTAATAACAAACGCGCGACGGTCGTGTGGTAAAGCAGAAATGGCTAGCGCGTGCGCCTGGCGCATTAAGCAATGGCGGAGTAATGGCATGAGAGGCTAGGCGGACGGGACGCACTGACACTTAGCGAAATTAAACCCCTCGAGCAATGGGGAGGCAGGGTATTGCTGGCAACGCGCGTGTGTAGCGACACTGTTCCTCGTCCATCACCGAACCCCCTTTACCCGTAATGCTCGAATTTTCCTTATGCCCCCGACTGATAAAAGCTCGTAGTATGCGTACGCACAACTCGACGCCGCCGTCAAAGCATTTGGCCAGAGACCGCACCGCGGAACCCGCCACACTAAACTCTCACACGCGTTCGCACTGCTGTTCGGCACGCACTACAAGTGAACCGAATCACCGGCACATGGCCGGCCGACCCGTCAACGAGGACGACAACCGCTCGACCCTCATAACCGGTTAATATTTTTTCGCCCGAATTTGATATATTTTTGTTTTTTTTTTTTTTTTATTTAACATTTCACCGAACGCGTATAGCCGCAACTTAGAACATGCGTTCGATAATACATTTTTCTTTTAAAATGATCATTTACTACGAATGTTGAAATGGAAATTTGTTATTCAAGTTGTTTTTTATGACTTGTATACTTACATTTTATTTTTATATAAAATATATTTTTTATACACCCGACATAAATAGATTTCGTTACTAATATTAACAACACAGACAGCATAATTTAACAAACTAGTGCCGCCGACGTTGGTTCCATCGGTATGTCCACGGTTCTCCGGCAACCACCATCTTCGTCGCCATCGTCCGGAGGAACGCCTCAACCATCACTTTTACCTCACTTACATCACCACCACCATCACTTTCAACACCATCATGGCCACCATCTCCTCAATCCGGCGTCTGTTGCGTCTGCCGCTGTCGACTTGCAAGTCGCTGTGCACAATCCAGATGTTCTGTTATCACTACTATCGAGAAATAAAGCTTTAGAAGGTGAGACTCGCTAAAGTATTTGTTTTGTTTGTTTTTAATTGTTTCGTTCGTATTAATCGTAAAAAGTTCGTCTCGCTTGGGTATACATAAATGTATTTGCCAGAACTAAGAGTGTTTAATGACATTTAAGATGTTAAGTTAAATTACATGAGTTGACATAGACAAACCGTCTTAATAATTTATTATCATTAGCATAGCCGGTTATGGTACCTCTTTTAGTCGTTTTTTTGTCATTTTCTAGTAATTACTCGACTGTAGTTATTATCAATCGAAATTAAAACTACTTAATTTACACTGGAATTACGACTTTAAAAGGAGGAAGCTAATATTATTTATGAATCATAAGTAATATGACTTGTCATAACTCATGATATGTAATACTATAATTATAAGCGTCTTAATGACAACATTTTTACGTATCAACTTAAAAAAAAAAAAAGAGCGCTATACAATTGCAGCATCGAATAAATGCAATAAGGGAAACTAACATCGTTATAACTGTACAAAATCAGAATTAAGTAATACAAAAAAATATTCAATTAAAAAATCGATATAATGTATCCTGCTATTCCTTAATGAACGCATGGAAAAATCTAGATGAATTAGCCCAGTGATCATTACTTAGTTTTCAATGATTAAGCCAGTGGCATAGTCAGGATTTTTCAACGGGGGAGGGGCAGAAAAATCTCCAACAAATTTACGACTACTTTTTAATCTCGTCACTTCATTTTAGAGGCAAACATTGCAGTCAATGTAGGGGACCCTGTGGCCTCATTATTGTTAAGCTCCGAATTAAGGGAGTCCAGAGAATAATTGACAATGATATGTTTGAATCAAACGTAACACTCGGTAAAATTAATATATTAAACTGCACAAAAAAATGTATAAAATTTATAGGTAAGCGTTTTAAAAATCGAGAAAATAACAATTATTTATGGTTGTGCGACAGTAGGAAAATGTTTTATTAGAATTTCGAAAAAAACTTAAAATTTACAATTGAAATGTGAATTGTTTACGATAAAAACTAAATCGACAGAATGAATTGCGACACGGCGAAAATAACAAAAGTTTAACAGGCACTTTGTGTTGCCAATTAATAGTTTAAAAAATATAACTATGACTCGAACACAAACGCGTACATAGTCAGGCACACTAGTCAGTAACAAGTTATCGCCGTTGTTAGATAAAATACATTAATTCATCAATGGTGTTCATTAAGTCAGATGGTTTATTAAGAAAGTTAAAACGAAAATATGCTTATACCAAAAACATCAATAAAACGTTTGAGATAACCGAAAATACAATACGATATGATTCTAGTTTTGGACAATCGATTTATATTGTATTTATGCACTGGAATTTTTAACACTGCGTGAAATTTTATTGTTGAGAGCGTACAAACAAAATTACAGACTATTCGATTTTTTAGCTCGTGTCACTCGTAAAAACGGCAAAGTCGAAAGGTCATTGGGCGCACATATTGCCGGACAGAGTTAAAAGTCCGTGTAAAACTCTCGCTGTCGTAGCTGAACGCGATGGAAAAAGGTGAACTGGCGAACGCGTCCACCTCGTCACTTTTCAGCGACGGGCTAATGGATATGAGCGGCGTTAAAATATTTTCTACTCCCTCGGCGATGTTTTGCGTGATCATCGTCGAAAACATTAAAAGGCCAATACGAAAAGGCCGGCAGGGAAAACAACGGAGATAACCATCGGGTCGCGACATACGGTGGCACTCGATGGCGGCGACATGAAAAGATAAAGTGCGCACAAAATAGCCGGACAACTGTGCCACCTGTTCCGTATGGATAATAACCGCGTTCAGTCGTACATAAGTAATATGAATTACAGACCACCACCCCCAGCCGCCCCTTATTAGTCATCGTTACCCCACGCGACCGTGTAAGCGCACGAGTTGACTAGTTGCATGCCGACTGCCTACTACACTCGGAGAGCGCATTACGCAAATGGATTTCCAAAAAAAACTCTAGTCCTCGACAAACACAAATTTCCATTACTTCTATCCAACTACGTGTTTGTTCGATGGCAATTTTCGACGACGATAAAAATATTACCGCATTCAAATTCATCTGTCGATTTAACACATAAATAATTTATAAAAAATTTATCTTGTTCATTCAACATACGCGATTAACTAACTTATTCAATAGACAATCAAGACGGGTGGATAACGGTTTTTTTGGCCAGTTGTTAGAATTTGAAAATATACGCCGGAGGAGGCGAGACACGGTCGTTATTAGTAATTTTCCTTAGTAGTGCTCGTCTAGTTATAAAAAAGTCAATAGCTCCGAAATATTGGTCCGAATGATGTTTAAGTCATTTTCTCAATTAGATCATTATCTAATTAATAAACTAATTGTTTATGTATGTTGCTATTGAAAAAATAAACATTGTATATAACCCGCATAGAAAACCCTTACAAGGTATAAACATAAAAAATACTTGGTTGTTGACAAATTGAGAAATACTTGTAAGTAAAACGAAAAATATATTATTTTTATTTTTCGATTAATTAAGTGGATCACGATCAAATGTATCCAACAACCAATAGATATATGGATATTGTACACGTATTGTGTTTACTTAGGATGCGACAAACGAATAATTTGTTTCACTATGTATTTCAACATAACGTACACATAAAAATTAACGCGGTGGCCAAATAGGGTTTCGTCAGCAATAGCATCCCGCCGTCATTAAAAGTCAACGGCTTCGTTTCATTGATGAGGCTTCCAACAAAAACATTAACGCTGGTAATTACAGTTATCATTTTAATTTGTTTCGCTCATTTCTAACATCCGAGTAAGTGTTTCATGTCACGAAAGTTCTTCACGGAGCGAGAACATTACGGAAAATTAGAACCCCCCGGGATTTTTTAGAGCGTTAAAAAAAAACACGTTTAGAGTCGACCCTAGAGTAAAGACATATAACTTCGTTTACTTGAGGGGAAAAAGACAAAGGTGTACGACGCAAGTTTGGTTTTATCGAGTCGTTCGGGCGCCTTTAAAACGTTCTTATTTAAAAGCTAACGAACACCTCTTTACAGCTGTTTGCCCTTCCCCAGTCAGACCGAAAACTATAGGAGCTCGGAAAGGTTAAACGACTTGCTCCTACGCCACCGCATTTAAGTAATGAGCGATAAAGCGAGAACGACGGCGGGTGTTGATTAAAGCCAATAAGATGTTTTTACACCTGAGCTTTTGCATCATATGCCATGCTATGTAGTAAAGCGTTTTTCGCAGAGCTCTATTAACACTCGAGATTTTTCCTCTCCCCTCGACTATTTACTTTTATACGTATGACCCGAATAACAAAGTCATAACGAAATTAAGAAGAAAGGCATAAAAAAGTATTTGACCCATAAAAACCAACTAGTTGAAAAACATGCTGAATACGGATTTTTAGTGGCTATTTTTAAGCATACAGAACCCTTTAATTCCACATAACCGGAGTTTTATTAAGTAAAGCAACGACCCGCAATATCAATTACATACAGGCCTAATTAAACACTTTGACCGCCGACATTTCCCTAAGTGTTTATACGGCATCGAGCCGTTTTTAGTAAAAGTGCACATTGCCTTTCAAAACATTTACGAATGGAACGTGTGCGATCACCTTGTACCCCGTTCGAGTATACAACGAAAAGTTGAAAAACGGCTGTACATTGTATACGTGTCATCGTACCATATAGTGATGACATAATAAAGTTTAATTGAAATAAATATCGAATGCTTAAAACCGTTTGTTGTCCGGATAGGTCTCGTTGGCCTTATGGTCTTAGTTGCACAGTCCGGTGGTGTTCAGCTCAGCGGGATATTTTCAAAACTAGAGATTAACGGGCGGGGACAAAAAAAAAAGCAATGTACAAGAGAACCGAAACCAATCGACCGATGAAATACATCCAAATGTTTCACTTAGTGCAAATGCTGCTTTTGCTAAACGGGCTAGCAGTTATAAAATCGGCCAAGGGATTACCATTGATTATCACTGCTAAACCTTTCCCCATAGGATAAGTCACAAACGCGCTAAGGACCGACATATTATACGAGCCAGAAGGGGACACGCGTTGTACACGTCGTATTAAAACAGTCCGAACACTTAGAGGGTGAAGATTACCATAAAACACCAATATACATTTACACAGATACGGGGGAGCTGAGCAAGCAAGTGAATAAGTGAACAAAACGAATTAGGCGTGACAAAAATTTTCGCGATTGTGGGGGGGGGGTAAATCTCGATTTGACGCTAAATCGTCCACACCGCATCGTCATTAGGATAATCGACCCTACACAAATACCAAAATATTTAAACTGACACGGTTTTGTAAGAAATTTCAGATTGGTAAATTTTATGCCGTAAATTTGATTTTTAAAAGCATTTGAGTTTTTTTCCCGTTTGTTCACTGAGTACCCTAAAATTAAGATGCACTTCCATTTAATTGAATTTTTTTTTCTTAATTATTATATTTATTACTTTTACGAGATCTTGTGCAACAAGTATCGAAGAAATATTTGTTTTTCGTGCAGTGTCACGTTCAAGTTTTTAGTCGTTATCATTAAAAAGAACACATCGAGGTTTCCTACGATATAATAACTTAATGTTGTCAGGTTAGTACTGTTAGTTTGGCACTGTACAAATACTGTACAAAAGGCGGTTACGACACACGTCTTTGTTGTCATACTGTGACACGGTCAAATACAACCAAATATTTTCAACAACAAAAAAAACCCAAGCAAAAATAAGAAACAAGAGCTTTACCACGCCTGTCATCAGTTTTACAATGTCACATGATTTCGCACAGTTGGTAAAAAAAAAAAGTTAATAATAATATAAAACAGAAAATTACTCATTCATTACATTTCATACAAACAACGAATAATATTCGTCTTTGTTGTGTTTAGCGCGTGTGTACATTAATAACTACAATAATAATTTGTATTACACTAAAGGATGACACGTGACTTTCTACGTCTGGCAAC